GCGCACGGGACCCGTCGCCGTGGCGCGGCCTTGCCGAACTCGTACGACCCGACGCGCTGCCCGGAGGGCGGCTACTACAACCAGTCTCGCGCTACGCGCCGTGCCGGCGACCACGTGCCAGCCGGGCACGGCCGCCGCCGGGCTGTTGAGCACCGACCGCCGCGCCCCTGCCCGCTCAAGTGAGTGACTGCGGCGCGCCGGCCGCCGCCGTGCTGTTTTGAGCCCCCCGACGGCGCCCCTGCCCGCTCAAGTGAGTGACCGCGGCTCGCCGGTCGCCGCCGTGCTGTTTGAGCCCGACCGGGGCCCTGCCCGCTCAAGCGAGTGACTGCCGCGCGCCGGCCGCGCCGTGCTGTTGAGCCCGACCGGCGCCCGCCCCGTCAGGTAGTGACCCGCGGCGCGCCGGCCGCCGCCGTGCTTGTTTGAGCCCGATCGGCCCTGCCGCTGCCCGCTCAGGTGAGTGACTGCGGCGCGCCGGCCGCCGCCGTGCTGTTAGCGCCCGACCGGCGCCCCTGCCCGCTCAGGTGAGTGACCGCGGCGCGCCGGCCGCCGCGCGCAGACGAACCCACCACCGCACGCTGGTGGGGCACAGGGCGCTGGGTGGCAGCTGTGGGCCAGTCGGCTGACAGAGCGGTGTCAAAATAGCCGGATGGTGGTTTGTTGGCCGGAAAGAGGTTCGCCATGCTGTTGCTCCGTAACTGGTTCAGGGGCACGGTAGTGTGTCAATCATCTGTGTTAACCAATGCGCGTCTGGGAAACCAGAGGTACGGGTTCGATTCCCCGCGTGCCCACCCTTCCGGCCGAGGTGAGAGGAAGGCGACCCATAAAAGCCTTAGCAGCTGAGTGCTTCGTAAAGGCGTAACGACATGACATGACCGTACTGGGCGTCATGTCAAAACGCTCGTGAGCGCCGTTGTATGGCTTGACGGCGATGGCGTGTTTTCCCGGAGAACCAGCACACCTGCGACACCTGCGCTCTGGCCCCGCCAACACCCGCCGCCGCGCTGCAGTCGCGGGCTGTCCGACGTGGTGACCGACGCACCGCACCGTTCCACGGCCGGTGGCTGCCCTCCCCGCTCACCAGATCGTCCGCTGTTGGCATCCCCCACAGCTCTCCTGGGCCCCGCCCTCCTACCCGCGCCCACCCACCCCGGTCTCGGCCCCGCCCTTTGACGCTGTCGCCACCCCCCCCCCCCCCCTGTCTCGGCCCTCTGCCCTCTGACGCCGTCGCCAACCCTCCCCCTGTCTCGGCCCTCTGCCCTCTGACGCCGTCGCCAACCCCCCCCCCCCCCTTTCTTCGACCCTCTGCCCTCTGACGCCGTTCGCCAACCCCCCCCCCCCCTGTCTCGACCCTCTGGCCTCTGACGCCGTCGCCATCCCCCGTCTCGGCCCTCTGCCCTCTGAGCCGTCGCCAACCCCCCCCCTGTCTCGGGCCCTCTGCCCTCTGACGCCGTGCGCCAACCCCCCCCTGTCTCGACCCTCTGCCCTCTGACGCCGTCGCCACCCCCTGTCTCGGCCCTCGCCCTCTCCCCCGTCGCCAACCCTCCCTCCCTATCTCGGCCCCTCTGCCCTCTGACACCGTCGCCAACCCCTCCCCTCCCTCCCCCTGTCTCGCCCTCTGCCCTCTGACGCCCTCGCCAACCCCCCCCCCCTGTCTCGACCCTGCCCTTTGACGCCGTCGCCAACCCTCCCCCTGTTCGGCCCCTCTGCCCTCTGACGCCGTCGCCGTTCCCCGGCAGCGAGAGCACCGACTTCCTCCTCATGGCCAAGCGTGACGCCATCCTGCGTCTGGCCGTCTCGGACGTGGAGAGCGGCGTGGCGCCGCTGCCGCTGCCGCGAGCGGCGTGGCCAGCGTGGTGGCGCTCGAGTTCGACGTGCCGCAACAACTGCGTGATGGTCCGACACCGCGTCAAGGCCGTCTTGGTGAGCGGAGAGGGGCCCGCCGCCGGCCGCGTGGCGGGCTGTGGATGCGTTGGGCCGCGGGGTCCGGCGCTGCAGGACCCGCGGTGGCACGCGCCGTCCGGTCTTGTAGGCGAAACAAACTTTGTCATTACCAGGGTGGTGTCCCGCTGAACTGCAGTTCACACGCTGTCTGTTGCGCTGTTGTGTGCTCCGATGAGCGCGCTGCTAGGTCTGTCCCGTGACGGCGAGCTGGCTGCTGTCTGCGGTCACCCGGCGAAACGTTGCCCCCTTGGTCCGCTCGCCGGTGTCCTCATAGTTGTCCCGCCGTCAGCTGCGCGCTGCGCCGCTGACCGTCCGCCGTGTCCCACCACAGTTGTGTCCCGCCGTCACTGCGCGCTGCGCCGCTGACCGTCCGCCGGTGTCCCATCACAGTTGTTCCGCCGTCACTGCCCTGCGCGCTCTGACCGTCCGTCGGTGGCCCACAGCGCCAGTGCTTGAACGGCGCTGGCCGCGAAGTTCTGCTGAACCGGAACGTGACGACGGTGGAGGCGCTGGCGCTAGACTGGACCACCGGCAACCTGTACCTGACCGAGTCGGTGTCGGCCACCATCCAGCTAGTGCGGCCGAGTGCCGGCCACGCCACCCACCTTCGAGCCACGCTGCTGGACAGTGCGGAGCTGGACAACCCCCGCGGCCTGGCGCTCCACCCCAGCAAAGGGTCAGTAGGCGTGACGCGCACGGGAGGCGGCTGGCTGCCACTGCCGCTGCTGCTGCCGCTGCCGCTGCGGCGGGCCCAGCGCTGGGTAGGTGACGGGTGCCGCTGAACATGCTCGGACACGTGGCGCTGTGTCTTCGGCGGGTGAGGTGCTGTACCACCGGCGCGGTCAACGGAGCGCCGGCCACGGGAGGAGTATAGCGCGGTCAGCGGAGCGACGGCCGCGGGAGGAGTGCAGAAGTCAGCGCTGCACTTCGCCTCCTTGCTCTAAAACCATGCGATGGGGCGTATGTAAGCTTTCAAACCACCCACCCGAAGCCGCTTTTGCATTCACAATTTGCATTTCCCTGTTCTTTACCCGGACATGAGCCTGACTGCCATTCCCATGTCGGCTAGGTACATGTTCTGGACGGACTGGTCTCAGACGACCCCCGGCATCTACCGCGCCTTCATGGACGGCACGAAGCACACCCAGATCGCCGGCCGGGGCAAGGTGATGTGGCCCAACGGCGTCAGCATCGACTACCAGGCGGACCGCATCTTCTGGGTGGATGCCAACCTCGACTACCTGGCGTCGTCCGACCTAGACGGCGGCCACTTCCAGATACTGCTGCAGAACTCTGTGAGAGACGCTGGGTCGGCGGGACGGCGCGGCGGCGGCAGCGGCTCTCCGTTTGTCTGGCCTTAGGACAACCCGCGAAGTCGCAGTGGTAGTCTCGAACGCGGTTCTGGCTCCCCTCCCCGTTCACCGACGTGGGACAAAGTGAGGCCCTTCAACGTTAAATGGCACGCAGCGGAGTGTAGGCGCTGCAGAGCTGTACACGAGTACCTCTTGTTCGCCTGTCAGAACGCGATGACGGCCATGCCTGTCCAACACTGTCGCCGTCCGGGACGTCACCTGGGAGCAGCACACACTCCTGCTGGAGTGGCGTGATGGTGTGTACCCGAGGCACGCGGCCGGGTCGGAGCGGGCACGCCGTACCCGCGCTACGCCGCCCCGCTCTGACCTGCCGCCCCGCTCTGACCCACCGCATCGCCGCCGCCTGACCCGCCGCCGTACCTGTCTCCAGGAGAACAGCCGACACCCGTTCGCCATCTCCGTGTACAAGGATTTGATGTTCTGGAACGACTGGCAGAGCGAAGTGGTGCTCATGACCGACAAGCGCTCGCCGACCCACGTCGTCACCGTGCTCGACAAGGTGCCCAACGTCGTCGACGTCAAGGTTTGTGCACGTCCCCTCTTTTGTCTGCATGTGAAAATCTTGTCATTTCGTTCCGTTTCGTTTATGTCGTTTGCGCGGCGGTTTTCCCGTTTCTATCTCAATGCTGATTTATATTCTTGCTTTAGGTCCTTTTTCGGTCATCCACTTTTCCATACTTCCCCCCTTTTCCTCACGCCCGTTTGTTGACATGCTTTCTTCACCCCGCTCCGATATTCCGGCCTATTCATGTCAATCACAGCATTACCCACCGGCTACGCTGTTGTCCTGCCGACCATCGGCGCTACATGTGGGGGTGCCGTGGGCTTCAGTGAGGGCGCCGCATCTGACGCCTGGCTGTTTGTTCCCCTGCCGACCATCTGCGCTTCCTGTGGGGGGCGCCGTGGGGTTCAGTGAGGGCGCCGCCTCTGACGCCTGGCTGTTTGTTCCCCTGCCGACCATCGGCGCTTCCTGTGGGGGGCGCCGTGGGGTTCAGTGAAGGCGCCGCCTCTGACGCCTGGCTGGTTGTTCCCCTGCCGACCATTGGCGCTTCCTGTGGGGGCGCCGTGGGGTTCAGTGAGGGCGCCGCCTCTGACGCCTGGCTGTTTGTTCCCTGCCGACCATCTGCGCTTCCTGTGGGGGGGGGCGCCGTGGGGTTCAGTGAGGGCGCCGCCTCTGACGCCTGGCTGTTTGTTCCCTGCCGACCATCTGCGCTTCCTGTGGGGGGCGCCGTGGGGTTCAGTGGGGGCGCCGCCTCTGACGCCTGGCTGTTTGTTCCCTGCCGACCATCGGCGCTTCCTGTGGGGGCGCCGTGGGGTTCAGTGAGGGCGCCGCCTCTGACGCCGGGCTGTGCGGCGGTGGCCAGGTGTTCGGCCAGCAGTCGCAGCGGGGTGTCAGCGGCTGCACCAACAGCACCGCCTGCGCCTGGCTCTGCACCCCACGGCCCGACGGCAAGCACCGGTGCCTGTGCCCGGACGGCCTGCGCCTGCAGAACGACAAGTGCGTGTGCTTCAACGGCAATACGCCCTTCGCCAACGGCACCTGCCCGTCAGGTGAGCGACCCTGTGGCCGAATGGTGACAGGTTTCGGGTGTCAAAGGTTCTCGGTGTCTTCAGCGACGTGGGCGGATGTTAACGTCATATGCTTGGCGCTAGACTGCTCGCCACGGTCATGGTTGTCGCGGCGCGGATATTGGTGAGAAGTGATTGGGACCACTGCCGCGTGCAGGTGTCGAGTGTCCGGCGGCACACGAGCACTGCCCGGACCAGAGGACCGTGAGGTGTGTGTGGGGGCCGAGCGCGGCCGCCGCTCCGACGGTGTGCTCGGCGCCGCGTCATCGGCGCGCCGGGGTGACGACAGCACGCGCCCACCGACAGTCGAGGCTCTTTTGCAGTGAACGAGCAGTGCGCGGCCGAGTACTTCACGTGCGCCAATAAGCAGCTCTGTATCAGGCGAGACTGGCTGTGCGACGGCGACAACGACTGCGGCGACAACTCGGACGAGCGCGACTGCCAGCAGGTGACCGGACGCCGCCGTCGCCTCCCGCCTGCAGAGCGATGGCGGGCGGGCGGCGTCCCTTGCGAAGCTGTGGTCGCGCGGCTGGGACCGTCTGCCGTTTGGACTGTAAGGTCGGGGAAGGGGCTAGTCGGAGGACCGCCAGTGGCCAGTGTTTGTACTGAAGCTTGGGGTCAGAGTGTCTTCATTAGTCTGTGCAGTCCCGAGGTTAGATGTTCCCTCTGGTACCAAAACGCTATTCCTTTGTCTAGCGGGTCGAGCCGTCCATCACAAGGTCCGTGTGCAGTTGCGAGGCTTCACGTCTCGCCCAAGTCAGGGGTGGAATGGTGGCGCGCCGCGTGACGAGCGCTGGCGGCGGTGTGACGCGGGCGCGGCTCGGCGACTGACGCCCGCCCCGCCCCGCCGCAGGCCAGCTGCGGCAGCCTACAGTTCCGCTGCGACAACGGCCGCTGCATCACGGCCGCCTGGCACTGCGACTTCGAGGACGACTGCCACGATGGCAGCGACGAGCGCGGCTGCGGTGAGCGACCGCCCGGCGGACGCGCCGGTGCGGCGCCAGGCTCGGCTGGCGCGCTGCCCGGACCGCGAGAGGGCCGGACACGCACGTGTGTCTGGCAGTGTGCACTGTTAAACTTGTGTGACTTCCCCATGCCGTGTCGTGCGGGGATGGCGGTACGGTGCGCCTTCACCGCAAAACGCGGGCGTTGAAGCGGGAGTGCACAATCGATGTTAGCGTGCGAGCCATCTACTAGTCCAGTTACTGAGTCCTGACTGGTAAGGTTTTCCTGATCTAGTATTTCTCTTAGTGTTACACTGACGGCGTCTGCGGTCCAGTGTCGCCTGACGGCTGTCGTCATTGGAGAAAGTCGGGCGCCGGAGCCCCTGGCGGCGTGCGCGGTCGACGCCGAGCCTGACCGGGCCGCCCCGCCCACAGTGTACCCCAACTGCACGAGCACCGAGTTCCAGTGCGCCAGCGGCCGCTGTATCCGCAGCCAGTACCGCTGCGACGGCGACGACGACTGCAGAGACAAGTCGGACGAGCTGGACTGCCCGACGCCGGCGCCGCCGCCCTGCCCACGTGAGTCGGCGGCCCGCGCCGGCGCGCTGCCGCCTCTGGCACCTCTGGTGTCACGGGCAATGGCGAGTGGTGTGCCCAGCTGCGGTCGGTGCGTGTGTATCGTCGGCATTGGGACTGGCGAAGGCGTGGCGCGGACGGCACACCGTTCCGTCAGCGCGGGTGGCGCAGTCGGTGGCGTCGGAGTGGGACGCGGCCGGACGGGCGTCTCGTCGCACGCGCGTGGGTTCGGCGGTCGGCGGGCCTTTGCTGCGCGTTGGACGGAGTTTGTTTATCTCGCGACGACAACCTGAGTGGAGGGCCCCCGACGAAGACCCGAACCTGGCATTCCCGTGCGCGGACAGCGGTCCCATCATTGCCAGTGCTGTAGAGTGTGAGTCGTCAGACATTACGAGAAGAACCGCACCGTCACGCTGTCGCCGCACGGACAGGACCAGCAGCCTGCTCCGCCATCGGCCGCGCGCAGCCCTGACCGCCCCACGCCGTCCGCTCCCGCCGGCAGCGCCGTCGTTCCAGTGCGTCAACAGCAGCCAGTGCCTGCCGATCTCGTGGGTGTGTGATGGCTCTGCCGACTGCCCGGGCGGCGACGACGAGGACGCGGCCCGCTGCGCCGACTACAGCTGTCCCCGCTGGCAGTTCCAGTGCGCCAACAAGCGGTACGACCGCCGCCGCGGCGCGGATCGGGGTGCAGCGCGCGGCGCCAGGGCGCCGACTGGGCTGCTGTCAGAGCCTGCAGAGGCGGGCGAGGTACAGTGTCGGTCTGCGGTGTCCTCATCGGTGTCCTCGGCTCCCTACGAACTTAGGCCGCGTGTCCGTCTGCCCGTTATAGCATGGCGTGCGAACGCCCTGATTTTTGGACCCGTTGAGTGACGTGAAGTGATGACGCGCCGGGCCGGAGGAAGGCTACGCGGTCTGGGCGGGATCAACCCTCTGAAAGCACCGGCAGCGCGGCCTCACCTGCCCCAAACTGTTGTCCGTGTCTTGGCCGAGTTTGCTGTGTAGTGGTCGAGGCGGCCCGCTCGGCAGGCGCGTCACCGGGCCGTGGCGTGTTCCAGCTGTATTCAGATGAAGTGGCGCTGCGACTCGCAGAACGACTGCGGGGACGGCTCCGACGAGCTGAACTGCACGGCCACCACCACGGCTGCGCCCACCACGGAGCCGGCGCCCACCTTCCCCATGGTACGGGTGCCATCGCCGGCCCGGATGCTCGATCCCAGCGGTATGTGCTCCCCACATGTGTCAGCTGCTGGCAGTTTTCCGGCGAGGCTTACTCCCGTGGAAGGAACGGCTTCGCAGTTCCATCACGGTACGCGTTCGCCCACTGAGCTATGCCCCCCCCCCCCCCCTCCCCAACCTCGTCTTCACGAGAACTTCCTCCACTGCCTTGCCTGTGCACCAGTGGGCGATGCTGCTCTCTGCCGCCCCGCACCAGACCCGTGCGGGGTGCGCCTGCTCGGCCGTCACACTGCCCCTCCACCGAGCGGCTTCCGCCTGCTGACGGCCGCCGGGGTCGCCGCCAGGGTGACTGCGGCACCAGCGGCCACCTGCTGCGCTGCCGCAACGGCCGCTGCGTGCCGCTCTGGTGGAAGTGCGACGGCGCCGACGACTGCGGCGACAACAGCGACGAGGCCGGCTGCGGCGGCGACGCCACGGTCGCGCCGCCGGCCGCCGGCAGCTCCCGGCCGCCTCCCGCGGCCACCTGCGGGGCCAGTCACTTCCGCTGCGATAACGGTGGGTCTCGGCTGGGAGACGCCTCCCGACTGCCGCCGCGGCCGGGCGTGGCCGGCGGCCGATCTGCGTGACGCATTGCTCTGGAAAGACCGGCCCGCCAACTGTCGGGTGGTCGGTAGGAGACGTTGGAAAGCCGGTACGGAAAGCCAGCAGATGTGTGTAGGGGGGGGGGGGGGGGGACGGGGGAGCAAAGAAAGCGAACTTTTGCGGCGAATGTGCTCGGTACTGGAAAGAAAACAACCAAATGAAATCGGCGTCTGTGCTCGTCATGGGCTTGGTGCGAGACGGTCGCCGTATGACGTCTGACCGCCGGCGTGGACGCCTGCGGTCGCCGTGCGTGCCGCGTCCGGTGCGATGACGAGCCTGGCGCCGCCGCTCGCCGCCGGCCGCCCTCTCGACCGTTCGCGTTGCCCGCCAGGCCGCTGCATCTGGGAGGCGTTCGTGTGCGACGGCGACCGCGACTGTCCGGGCGGCGAGGACGAGGCGGAGTGCGCCGGCGGCACGGGCGGCTGCGCGGCCGGCCAGTACCGCTGCCTGCTGTCCGGCGAGTGCATCGGACGCCGCCTGCTCTGCAATGGCCGCCAGGACTGCGCCGACAACTCGGACGAGGAGGCCTGCGCGCCGGGTGAGCGGGCCGACCGGCGCGACGGCGGACGGAGCCGGCCGCGCCGCCCGCCGCCGGACGCAGCGGTCTGGCGAGGCGGCGCCACTCCTCGGTTGTGCGTGTGCGTGCGCGTTTGCGATGGGCCGCGGAGGGTTAAAGGCAGGCTGGTTTCTCGTTGATTTTACGTGTTCTGAGGAGCCGTTCAACTGTCATTCAACTGACGGAAGAAAGTGGTTGCGGACATCTGCCATGCGTTTGTGGAAATCCCTCAGCCTTCCCACAAAATTGTCATCTTTAAATCATGACCTCTCGCTTGCTATCTGGCATGTACATCAACCTCGCCTGGAATGACAAATGCGGTGCATCACGCCGCGCGTCGCAGGGCACTGGCAATGCACAGTAGGGGGGTGTCATGTCCTTCCTTGCTTTGTGTCGTGCCCTGATGGTCGAGCGGAGGATCTAGCCGGGCTCACCTGCTGTGCTTGTGGGGCAGGCCGGCGGGAGTGCGGCCGTGGTCACTGCAGCCGTTGTCGGCGCCGCGCGTGCCGGCCGCGGCGTGCCGTCCGGGCCATCCTGTCGGGGCAGGGCGGCCCGGCTGCGCGGTGGCCGTGATGCGGCGCCCGAGACGCGTCTGACCTCTCCGCCCCCTCCCCGCCCTCACAGAAGGCACCACCGTGCAGCCGTTCACCTGCCCGTCCGGCTTCTTCCGGTGCGACTTCCACACCTGCCTGCCCTACTTCAAGTTCTGCGACGGCCACCGGGACTGCTCGGACGGCTACGACGAGTCCAGCTGCCGCGACGATAGCACCGTGTTCCAGGTGCGCCGGCCGGCCGGCTCGGCCAGGGTCGGCGGTGGGTGGCGGAGCCGAGTGCGCCGGTGTTTCGAGGCAGCGCTGGCCCAGCGGAGGTGGCCAATGCTCTGGTGGCCGCGTCGAGTGAGCTGGGCGTTGTGTTGGCCGCCACCTGTCCGTCGGGCGGTGTGTCGGTGCTGACCTGGAGCCTTTGCCTCGGCGCTTCCCGCAGGTGGTGAGCTACGCCGCCGACACCAAGACGCTGACGCCGCATGCGGTGACGGTGGGCTGGAAGACGAACGCTCGCGGCCCGGCCATGCTCGCCAAGCTCAGGTCAGTGGGCTGCGCGCTCCGCACCCCTCGTGTAAAGCGTTACGCATGGGTGATGAACGTGGTAAATTGGGCGGAAAATTGTAAAACAGCGCGAACTGACATTGTGACAGATTTTTGGCAGAATTGTCGAATTCTTTCGCAGGCAAATCCGAATTATCATATGCCTAAGACATTCAGATTGTGTCCAGCGTTGTTACGGAGCTCCAGCGTATAGCTTTTGTGTTGTCTCCCGCGTGTTGGAGATGCGTGATGCCATGCTTACTGGCGTGTTGCGGAGCGTAATGCGATGCAATGCTCATTCGTGACAATTAACTTTGCTCAAAGCGTCGAATTTCGACAACGTGAGATGTTTGCTCGATAACTTTATTTAACGAATACGTCCGGGCATATTTAAGATCGATCACTGTCAGCATAAGAACTCTGAATCGTCTAATTGTCCCTTGTGTTACGCTACCGGTCCTGTCTTAATGTAGGACGTTCGCACCGACGCCAGGTACTTGCCATCGATCTGCGCCGTCTACCAGCCGGGGCCGTGCCACTGGATCAATATGACCTGGATCGCCGACACCGAGTACCGCTTCGACCGGCTGGAGCCGTTCACATGGTACAACGTGACCGTGTTCGTGCGCGCCGAGGGACGCGACGCCGCCTTCCCCGCCAGCCAGTACATCAGCGTCCAGACCCTCAGCGCCCGTACGTGTCCGACGACGTGGCCGTGGCGGCGCGGGGTGCGACGGCGCTGTCTGGGGTGCGGCGCCGGGGCGCTGCGCCGCGCGGGGCGGCCGGACGGCGCTCGTGTGCCCGCCGTCCGAGCCCGTGCTCCCGTGTCGCCCGCCGGCGGTGGAGTGGGCGCTGCCGCGGCGCTGCGCATGAGTGTCGGTCGGACACCCTGTCTTCGTGAGAGCTCTGTGCGCGTGCGTGGCCTGGGCGTCCGGCCGGTCACCGGTGAATACTCGCTGTTGCGTGGCCGCCGGCTCCTCTGTGCGCCTGCGCGGCCTGGGCGTTCCGGCCGGTCGCCGGCGATACTCGCTGTTGCGCGACCTCCGCCGATCGTGACTTGACCTGACCTGACCTTCCTCTTCCCGCCCCGCCTGCAGGGCCGACGCCACCCTGGCAGATGACCGCCACACAGCTGAACCACAACTCTGTTCGCGTGTCGTGGCAGCCGCCCAAGCACATGAACGGCCGCCTGTTGAACTACCGGCTCTCGATGGTGCCGCCTCAGCCGGCCCACGTGTTTCACACACGGCACACCAACTTCACCGTGGTCGAGGACTTCCTGCCCGGCGCGAACTACACGTTCTTCGTGAGTGGGCAGCAGCCTAGACGCACGTGGGCCTGGCAGCGCGCGCTGGGCCGCTTTCGTTTCTGTTTCCGACCGCAGCGTTCAGTGCGCTGGTGGTGTGCTGATTGTCGGTAGGTGGCGCTGGGGTTTCAGGTGGCTGCTGTGACCAGCAGCCCGTGGCAGGGGCTGTTACGCGGCTGTTTTGGCGGCTGTTACGCGGCTGTGAACGTGTGTACACACTTGTGGACTCAGACTCGGTTTGTGTGGTCCGACATCAGTTTCATCTTCGGCATGTGCGTCCTGCCTTGTTTGGTCCTCTGCCGAGAGCAGCGTTCTGTAAGTGGAGCATCAGCGACAAAAACAACAACGCTGTTTTCCTGCACCCTGCCCTTGGCGGGCAGCCCCCCCCCCGCGTGACATTCCCCCTCCCCCTCCCGCGGCGATCCGCCGGACACGCCGGTCGCTCCCGCCGACAGGTCCAGGCGGAGAACGCCGAGTTCCTGAGCGAGAGCTCGCACCCGGCGTCGCTCGTGTTCGACGGCGACGCGGTGATCGGTGCCGTGACCGGCGTCGCCGTGGAGGAGCGCACGCCGCGCTCGCTGACGCTCAGCTGGGACGCGCTGCCGGCGGCTGACGGCTTCCTGGTGCGCTACACGCCTACGGAGAACCAGCTGGTGCCCGCCGACGACCTCCGCACCAAGAATAACCGTGTCGTGCGTGAGTATGCGGCGGGGTGGCCCGGCCGCCGGCGCTGCGGACCTCGACCCGTGGGGCGGCCGCACAGTGGCGTGGTTTGCTGCGGCTGGGTGTGGGGGCAGTGGATGGCGCTGGGTGATGCTGCACTTGAACTGTTGCCCCTGTTGCTGGCGATGCCGCGTACGGACTGGTGTGAGGAGTTTCGTGAAGATTGCAGGACGACGTCGTTTTTTAGGGACTGCTTGTGTTTTCGTGGATGAATGAGCACACACAGGGCCCCGTTTTCGGCCGTCAATCACCGTGACCCAACCAACAGTGCCTGGGTGTGCGCACGCTGGCCCCTGGCTGAGCGCGGCTCGGTCTTGCCGGCAGTGTCTGGGCTACTATCTTCGGGCACAGCGTACGAGTTGACGGTGCAGGGCTACAAGGGCCGCTTCACGGGGCCGGTGCAAGCCATCAGCAGCGGCACCACCGGCCAGCCAGTCCCGGCAGGTCACGAATCTCACGGCGACGCTGTCGCCACACAGCGGCATGCTCGTCAACCTTAGCTGGCGGCCGCCGCCGTCGAGCGGCGGCACCGTCGACGCGCTGGAGTACGGCGTGTTCTGGGGCACGTCGATGGAGGAGCTGTACTCGGGCGGTGTGCGACAGAGGGTGAACGCTACGTCAGTACAGGTGCGGATTTGTGAGGAGGAGGAGGAGGGGGAGAGGGGGGGGGGGGGACAACCGGCCACCAGGCTGCTGTCTGCCGTCTGTCGGCCGGTGGTCGCTGTTTGGTCTTAGCCGTGGTGTCGAGAGCAGGTGGTTGATCCATATGTGACTGGGAGTTGACAGAGTATGCGTGCTTTGTACTTCGGACGGTTGAAGATTCCTTACGACCTGAGTCTGAGACCGCTCCTTGCTGCCCTTTACCTGCACTTCTTTGCTTGTCAGATGACTCACGCGGCAACCTTCAAAGACCGCTTCAGACCGCGTGACCAGACCACCTGCTGTGCTTCTCTCTCACCTGCCAATCTCTCCCTGCCCGTCTCACCTGCCCCTCTCTCACCTCTGCCGTAGGTGACCGGCCTGGCCGCCTGCGAAGACTATCTGCTGGTGGTGGCCGTGGTCGGACCGAACGGTACGGGGGTCGGCGCGCCCGCCGCCCGCCTGCGCACCAAGTATGATGTGCGCGCGCCGCCCAAGAACGTGACCGTGACCAGCGTGCGCGGAAAGCAGCTGATGATGAAAGTCCGCTGGTCGGCCAGCTGCCCGGTAGTGGAGCGGCCGGTCGGCTATAACGTGAGTGACGGATGCCAACAGTGAGCCAGAGTGTAGAGGGGAGAGAAGCGGGGCTGTGCGGAGGAGGAGAGCAGGGAGAGTTGATCCGCTGTGGGGCTCAGTGTTTGACCTGTCCAGTGGGCTGCTGCCTTGTGGCCAGATGTAAGGCGAGGTGGCCTCGGCACCTCTGTCTGCTCGCTGTAGATAGCACTTCGTTTGTCGCGCCTAACATGTGCTGTGCCTATCAGATCGTCAGAAAAAGTGAGCGTGTCTTAAAATTGGTCTGACTCGGACTTGAGGCGTGTTACAGCGTCTTGTCCTGTCCTCCCCGCAGATCACCGTGGTAGAGGTGGGAGGTGGGTCACGTGCACCATACCGGGTGACGCTGCCCACCAGTTCGGAGGTGGCCCACTCCCACCAGGTGCCCGCCAACTACGGCGGCCACTACCTAGTGACAGTGCGCACCACGGCCATGGACGCCGCGCCGCCCACCCCGGTGGACGTTCGAGGCGCCGCCCATCCCGGCCCTCACAAAAAGCTCCAGCTGGCGGCCCCATCATCGAGCGAAACGGTAAGCGTCGGGCTCTACTGGAAGGAGCGCAAACCTGCCCGCACGAGTATGCGGAGACTCCAAAGTGAGTTGAAGGGGAGAGAGAAGAGAGAGAGAGAGAGAGAGAGAGAGAGAGAGAGAGAGAGAGGAGGACCCGGAGAGGGAGAGAGAGAGAGAGAGAGAGAGAAGAGAGAGAGAGAGAGAGAGGGAGGAAGAGAGAGAGGAGAGTGAGAGAGAGAGAGAGAGAGAGAGGGAGAGGGAGAAGGGAGAGGGAAGAGAGAGAGAGAGAGGGAGGAGAGACGAGAGGGAGAGAGAGAGGGGGGAGGGAGGGGTGAGGGTATGGAGAGGGAGATGGAGAGGGAGAGGGAGAGGGAGAGGGAGAGGGAGAGAGGAGAGGGAGGGAGAGGGAGAGGGAGAGAGGGGAGGGGAGAGGGAGAGGGAGAGGGGAGAGGAGAGGAGAGGGAGAGGGAGAGAGGGAGAGAGAGAGACTGATGGTTGTATGCCCCTGGTTGGTGTCACGCTGTAGGCGAGGGAGTGGGCTCTGTGCACCATCTGTGAGTGGAGAGTGGTGAGTGTGCTTGGTGTTGTGGGCCGTCATCAGTTACAGTTGGGCACTGATTGCCACTGCAAAGGTCTGTGTCCGAGCGCTCTCTCCCGTCTGTTGGCATACGCGCGGTCTGTGTGGCAGGGCCGGCGCCTGTGTGTTCGGAGCCCACGCTGTGTGCCGTGGCCGCTGCCCCGCCCGTGTCCAGATCCTGCACGCGGGTTCCGAGAGCCCCCCCCCCCCCCCATGCCGCCGTTGCCGTGCCAGTGCCAACGGCCTGTCTGCGGCGCCGTCAGGTACACGTACGAGGTGCGGCTGGCCCAGTCTCCGGACGCCGTGTGGAACAGTAGCGCACTGCTGGCGCCGGACGGCCGCTACACAGCCGACCACCTGCAGCCGGACACCACCTACTACGCGGCCGTGCAGCTGGTCACTGCCGACGGCTACCGCTCGCTCCACTCGGAGATCGAGAGCTTCCACGTGCCGCCTGGTGGGTTACAGGACACGGAGAGCGGGCAGGAGGCTCGAGTTCGGGACGGGATGAGTGACCACAGGTGTCCCCTCACAGCGCCAAGCACCACAGTTGGGCGGTCGAGAAGGGATTGATGATGTGTCTAAGAGCTGCGAGATTTTGCTTGTATTTGGAGTGTGTGGATAGAAAGCGAGGCGTCATTTGAGACAGGGTACAGTGCGAAGGTGAAGATGGTGTGTTCTTGACTTTGAGCTTCTCTGAAGAAATCATGTCCGCCCACGGGACTTGTGTGGTCCACACATAGCCGCTGCCAACTACACTACATCACATGATCTCACCTTCATCGGGCTGATCACGTCTCCGCCGACGCGGTGCCGCGAACCCGCCAGTCTTCCCCACCACCACCACCCACAAACGCTCGGCCGTCCGCAGCCGACTCCGTGGTGATCAAGAAGCACCACCTGGTGAGCGTGGTGGTGCCGGTGGTGCTGCTGCTGCTGGCGCTGGTGGTGGCGGTGGGCGTGTTCGTGTACCGACACCGGCGCCTGCGGCACCGCTTCCTGGCGTTCGTCTCGACCCACTACAGCTCCCGGCCGGCGGCGGCGCGCTTCACCAACGGCGACGGACTCGGTGAGATGTCGGCCGCGACTGCGCCACCACAGCTGCGCGCTGGGCTGCCATGTCGTGAAACGTTGTGTGTTGTACGGCTGCGGTTTTCATCGCCTGTCTGGGTAGGTGTTGGCTGTAGCAGGCGGTGTCTCTCGTGGAGGTATGTTCACGGTGTCGTGCGGCATGGGTAATCGCGGACAATGTGTGCGTATCGTGCCCATCGTGGGCTCCCAAAGCTGATGGTAGTTGTGCTGCGTGACGCCATATGTCACAGCGGTTTTCCCCAGGCGCTCTGTCCATGCCGAGCGGCCGTGCCCTCTGTGCTAACGTCGGGTGGTTTGCAGAGGACGACGACGCGCCCGTCATCCGCGGCTTCTCGGACGACGAGCCGCTGGTGTTGGCGTAGTGCAGCGGCGCCGTTAGCCGAGTGTTCCTGCGGCTGACGGGCGGGGCTGGTCATCAGCCGGCCGGCGGAGCCGCTCGCAGCGGTCCGTCGGCCGTCAGTGCGGGTGTGGATAGTATTAGCTCCGATGTGCGAAGGACGCCGGGGCGGCAGCGGCCGGAGCGGCGTGGACCTGTGAACCAGTGCCGCCACCGGCCGGCGCGCGCCGCGCATTTAGTTGGCCAAAGACGTGTGCGTCGCGAGGGCCGTGCTGTCCGGCGGGGCGGGCCATGCTGGCTGTGCTGTGTGGAGGTATGGCGGGGCGCCGCTGAGACAGGGCGGCTGAGGGGCGCGCGTGTCGACGGGTACCGGCCGCGCGCGGAGACGGCGTCTGGGCGGGGTGAACGTGTGTGATCGCAGAGATGGTCGTGGGTCTTTGGTTTCCACGCGCTGGTACAACACTCATCGCTTAGTGATCCCGGTTTCCTGCTTCACGACTGCTCCCGTCCCCCGGCCGGCGTTGAGCCTCGGTCGGGATCGGCTGCCGTTCACGTGAATCCACACGTCTCAGTGGAGACCGCGCCGTGCACCCGGCACCCAAGGCCGGGCCCCAGTTGGCGTGACGGCGTCCGTCCCGCACCCCGCGTTCCCATGGTCGGTGCCCGCTCCGAGCTGGGCGCTGCACCATCCCCCGCCCCTCCTGCGAGGCCCGGGTGGAAAGCACCTCTGATCAGCTGACGGTCCCTTCGGCCGTGTGTGATATCTTCGTGTACTGCATGTGATGTATTTATTGCCAGCGGGGTCGCTCACGGCTGTGGTGTGGACCATGGTGAGGACCACGGCGCGCCCTGGCGAGCCTCCTGTATCTCCGCAGGAGCGCATGGCGTGTATTCGAATAGGCGAACGGAGTGTCGCGTGATATACACTTTACCATGTACTCATTGTTCACGTTTTAATCGAGTTGGCAAATACACTACCGGTACGGGCGAGGAAAGTTCTTTAACGCTTGTTGCCGCACGGGTGGGGATTTCACTGAAGTGGTGACGGAAGACGGCGCCAGAGGTATCCTCTGCCCTCTGGCCATCTCTGACCCATTTGTGGTCTGGCCGAGTCGCGGTCGACGTTGACAAAACTTGACCAGCTGCCCAGGGTGAATGTATTGTGAGACGATGTCATCACGCTGGTGCATATAGGGACAATGCGGGACGAACCGTGCGGCAGAACATTCCCTGTGCCTGTCCTTTGCGCTTCCATCTAGACATAACTGACGTGCGGACTGCGCTACGGTGAAAATGTAAGGGATCTGCTGGGAAAACGTGTGAGCGTTTCAAAGGAGGCGGACATGGTGGTGCATGTGGGATAGGAAGTGTTTTATGGCCATATTTGATGCCACGGACTTTCACATTCAATGGTGTCGCAACGTGTCAAGTCTGGTACCACTCTGAACCAGCCACTTCAACCGCAATAGGTGCTGCCGTTGATATTGATCAGCTGATTTTCCACAGCGTGCTCCAAATGTCTCCGCACTTTCCCTTCAGTTCAACGGCTGGAACCTATTGGTATGTGCCGCTGTCTGAAGCTCACACTGGGCGTTGGTCGTCTGGAGTGGCGGTGGCGTCGGTCGTCTGGAGTGGCGGTGGCGTCGGTCGTCTAGAGTGGCGGTGGCGTCGGTCGTCTGGAGTGGCGGTGGCGTCGGTCGTCTGGAGTGGCTGGTGGCGTCGGTCGTCTGGAGTGGCGGTAGCGTCGGTCGTCTAGAGTGGCGGTGGCGTCGGTCGTCTCCGCCGCGTCCCAGCGGCCGGTGCGCTGGGCGATCGGCCACCTCCACGCCGTCGGGCCAGCAGCTCCCCGGCCAGCAGCAGGACGGCAGTCAGGGCGCCCAGCGGCACGATCACGATCACGGCCAGCAGGTCGCCCAACGCCAGTGGCTGGAAGGCCACGCCGCCCGAGCACTGCTGCCGGCTCCACCGGAACCACTGCTGCTTGAGCCGGTCCAACGTGCCAGTCTCCAGCAGCCGCTGGAGCCTGCCGACAGCGCCGCAGGCGGCGGTTAGGTGCAACTCAGACTCCGTTGGCGGTGGATAGCTGACGCTGCTGTAACCACCTCGGACCCGGCGTACCGTCGCCCGTCTGTGGCCTGCGGAGTTGTGAACCGGCAAAGGTCTGTCCCTGAAAGCCATGGTCGAGCTGTGGTCGATTTCAACAGGGAAATCAACCGTCTCCCTCTATACAGAGAGCAGGACGGCTGAAAAAGGGGCGGAGTGGGGACCGGAAGCACTGAAAAAATATGGTGGTCTACACCGGTTTGCTCGAACCATACGATGCATTGTGTATAATCTGTTGCGCTTTTATTAAATTAAAGGAAAGTTGTACGTTTGAAGGTGTCGCAACATACGTCGGGTGATGCTGAAACAAACTTATCTATAACTATTGGCTTTTAATAACACACGCTCGGGTGGGGGTCAAATTGACACCCACGGGGTTTCCGGAATGGTTTCCGAACAGCGCGACGTAGCCACACCAAATTTTGCGTAGGTGTAAACCATTGAATAACAGGATCGTTTGGTATAAAAATTTCGATGCACTTCGCAAGATCGCTGACTTACGGCAGGTTAGTCAGGCCATGGATTCAGTACTCTCTCTCAGGTACTCTTCCCAAAATATTCTCCCCATTTTCGTGGTCGTGTAGCTCAGAAACTAGAGGGGTTTAGGTCTTCGGAAGGGCAGAGTTGTGAGATGCACCGAAAGGTTTTCAACATGGCTATTTCAGTTGAAAACCCAATGTCAAGGTGGAACACTCTAACGCGCACCTCTCTAAAACAAGCACATACATTTTCAAAGCGTCAGTGTCGAAAACGACTTGCTTGTCCGGATGTTTTATGACAGCGGCGAGCAAAAAAGGTTACCAGCCCTG